CCCTCTTCCGTATCATTGTGTTATTCCCAAGGAGGCGATATGGTGACTGTTGTGTTGGGACGGAGTGCATGTGGTGGTAGGAACACATGTACAGATATCTGCTGACCAATATCAGATATTTCACTGCCACTAAAATAAAGAAGGTAATCCTTCGCTCGATATTTTCGCCGCCCCCTTTGTGGTGCTTTTGGTGGTATGTTTCTTTTCAGAGATCACAAGAAAAACATTGTGTATCGTATAATCTGACGGCGAATGACCTAACCTCCTTTAGATCTCCAAAATAATCGTGGTTAGTATGTTACTGCCATGTTAATTGATTTCAATGACGATCATGTCATATTTGCCAAGAAACCACGAGTTCATTTCCTGTCCAACGTTCCCACCTTGGACACATGTTGTTCTTCTCACGCCAAAGGGGTTTCACTAAATCAAGCTCCTGTCCGAGACGTGGCATTAGTGTCAAACTCCATGGAAGATTCGTTGCGTCTTCTCGTGTATCGAAGTTGTGCCGCGGAACATCATCCATGGGGCTGTGAGGACACCAAACGATTATGAAACTTAAAACTGTAGATAACTTTTCTCTTTAGCCCTCCATAAATAGTTAAGTCCCTTGACTCTAAGTTTGGGTGTGACTGAGGTCAGAGGTCCACCAGCATAGCAACACGTCTATAATATCGTTACGTCCGATAACTGTCAGGTTTTCTTTTCATTGTTCACCAGCAGAATATTACATGATGGCAGGGACTGTGTTCTGCACTTACGTAGCTCACTGCAAACAATATTTTGTGCTAGTGCAGTGACTGGGTGGTTTCATGATGACAGTCTCAGTCTCGTATATACCTACCCCCCCAATTTTTCCAGTGTGGTCTGATCTGTATAACTCAGAAACCTCTGCCAGAAATTATGTGAAAGTGCTAATTAACTCAGAGTGCATTTCAAGACGTGCGGCAGTCCCGGCGGCGCGCTAAAAATCGCTGGCTGGCTGCGGCTGGTGCGTGGCTGTGGGCAGCTCTAGCTTTGTGTCTGGCTAACAATGCCGCCACCTTCCTCCGCTCCGAGAAAGGGACAATCTGAAAATCTTCGCATCGTGTCCGAAGGAGTCGACAAGCGTATTTCTAGTATTTCTATTCGACGTTTGGCCTTATCCTCGCAGGATGATTGCTCTGCTGCTTCTGCCGCTGGTTGATATGTGCACACGTCAGATTTCGGTCGTCACGAGGACCTCGTACAAGGTTTACAGCTACAAATATCTCCCGGTTCCTTCTCTCCCCTCTCTCTCGTCACACAGTGTGACTAATACCTCACGAGACAAGGAAGATGTTTGTCAAACTGTGCACCTGGCAATGGTGGCTACTGGTAGCATGGGTGGTAGGCATCTCTACACTACAATAAAGTCTGTATTTATGCATCGCTCGACTCCTCTGCATTTCCACCTTTATCACTGACGCAGAGCTACAACAATTCTCCAGGCAATGCCTCGATACTGGCTACTCCCCGCGTGTCTCACGATTACTAACGACTTACACCAGGCATTGGAGACTATAAGACTGGCCAGATTCTCTAATCCACATGTTCGCAGGTCATTTCCATTTACCTCAACCTTCATCTGATTCTACCAGACAGTGTCCGTCATGTCATAGCCATTGAACCGACGCTCGGTAGTCGAATGTGACCTGGCCGCAGCTATACTCTCTGACTGAGTCACGTGGAGAATCACATGATCTCAGTGTGTGGAGCTGTGTGTGTGTCCTACTGCTCAGAGGATAGTGGGGATCTTGGGCTGAGCAGGTGGGGGGCAGTAGGTATAAATCTCGATGCTTCGCTGAGAAAACTGAGATGATCAGGCATTACGGAGACACCAGTGCTCGTCCAGTGCTGCTGACACTGTTGATAAAGCAGTAATGGAGCTAGCAGGTAGGGATGCTGCGCCAATGATTGAGGATGCATGTGAGACGGTCAGGAACTATGACGGAGGGTTACTCAGACATAGAGAAATGGCAAAGTGTCCGGAGGGTATGGAGCCACTTGTTGTCCCTATACCCTCAAGTTACAACGTCTGTGAAGTTTGTGCATGGGAGAGAGTCGTCCAGAGAAGAGAGGTCCCCTTTATCCTGGGACACAGTTATACTCCCAGAGACGAATACGACGTTACCATGGCCACTCATCTCGACTACAACAGACTAGACCTAATGGGGAAGATTCTCACTCACTGGGACGGACCAGCGAGTGTGGGCATCCACGCGACTGATTCAGAGGTTCAGAGAGTGTTTGATTTCTTGGGAAACTCTGCAGCCCTGCGAGAGAGGGATAACGTGACGTACCACCTGGTGTTCAGGCTCGGCCCCTCCTACGCACCCAACCACATGCGGGAGATAGGACACAGATACGTGACCACTCCCTACACCTTCTTTCTGGATGTCGATTTCATGCCGTCTCCAGACATGTACCAGAATCTACGAGAGAAACTGATGACTCGAGCGTTTGGTGACATTAGTAAGACTGCCGTTGTTATCGCAGCTTTTGAAACAGACGACGAGACATTTCGGATTCCTTCTGACAAGCCAGTATTGATCGAACTTCTTCTTAAGAAAAAAGTTCATCCGTTCCACCTGAGGATTTATGCACCTGGTCACAAACCAACAGACTACTTAAAGTGGATGTTCGCCAATAAACCTTACTATGCTCGCTGGGACAATTACTACGAACCTTATTACGTAATGAATACGTCCGTCGTTTCTTTCGATCATCGGTTCGTCGCTCGTTTTCTCAACAAGTGTAGCCACGCTTTGGAGCTACACATGGCCGGCTATAAGTTCTTGGTTTCTCCCAGCGTCTTTGTCATCCATCTTCCTCATTCAAAGAACAAACAGAACATGAGTGTTCTGAGACATTGCAACAACGACTGGTATGCGGATTGGATTAAGGAGAAGAGAAAACAGTATAATTACACGGGTTCTGATGTTCGGGATTACATGCTTAAGCCTGTATCTCATGCATAATATTGTATATATTATTATGCTTCTTGCTTAAAGTGGAGTCAGAGGGTAATTGCTTATAGACTTGTCCACTCCATTTAGCTCCCCTAGTATATATATATATATACCTGTAGCTCTCTCGTATATAGCACAGCGTTGCATTTGCATATACAACGCCTGAAAAATGATGAAGAATCTAATATCAATTTCTTCTGTCCCATTGTGATGTTCAGATTAAAGTATTGTTCTCTTCATAGGTTCTATATGCAAGCCTCACTCCCATTCCCCTCTCTAAGGACACCCCATATATATGTGTAGTCCAACTTCAAACAATCCGGTGCTATATAGGAATAAACGCTGTATTCTGAGCTGTGGGCTGCACCGGTATATATCAGTATTGGACAGGAAGTCCTTATCACAACATCTAGTGCTGGGCGTAGTGCAAATTGTCTGCCTTCCAAAGTTTACACAACAGTCCCATTAGTACATTATTGCAGGCTGCCGCGGCAGAAATTCAGCATTGTGATTGGCTAGTTGGACTACAAATCAGTGAACGTCAGGCGCGTATACCGGAAATCCTCCTCGGCTGTTAACTATACCGGCCTCAGAGTATCGCCTCGCCGCCTATACGTTAACTATTACATAATACCTTTCTTCCCCGAAAAGCACAATCCCTCCCTTAATGAGACTGACACTTTCTCCTGTCCCATTGGTGTCCAGATTAGAGGAATGTCACTGACCATGTGGCCAAACTTACGTTGTTTGGGCTTACAAAAATAGTCATAATAATGGAGTCCAATACAACAAGTTTGGGAGTCGGTATAACAATGAATGCACACATATTGTCGTTTGCGTGTGTGTGTGGGTGTGGCTAATTAATGGGCGTGGTTAGTTCTCCTAGTCATCGTCGGAATCGTCTGATGAGTCCTTATCCTTATTTGCTGCTCCTTTTCCTGGAGAGAGGAGAAGGAGGGAGGGGGGCGGGGGAGAGGAGGGAGAGTGACACGGAGCTGTGTGGAATACCTACTCAGAACTAAGGACACTTCTCTAATAAAGACACCAGTTTTTTCATGCAATTTAACCCCTGATATTAGGACACTATTAATGAAAAGCACTAAAGTGCAAACCCTCGGCACACTATATAGAATGTGGAACCCATACACAAGTGTGGCACCACCACAATTGATGGTCTTGATCATGCATCAAAAAGAACAGCATGTTATGCACCATTTCCATGAAAAAAATGGCAGGCCCATTTCTGTTTGAGGGTAAAAAATATATTAGGTTGAAAAATTGCCAACCTTTTATCTCTCTATTAATTTTCGTATTACCTGTGGATTGTTTAGTGCAAAAAAACTAAGGTTGAAAAAATATTTTTAAAAACGGCCAGCCCTTCATCTCTCCAGACAGACGTCTACGGACGCAGTGCAATGCCGAACTATACGCTGCCCTTTGCCAAAGATTTTACCGGTAGCTCCATTGGGTGAAGTGGCTGAGGAATTCGGGGGCCGGGGCTTGCTGGCTCCGGCTCCAGGGTTTACTGAGGCTGTGGCTGTGCCTGATGGTGGTCTCCTGTTCCTCTCCTCCTACAGTCATTATCATAGGGGATGTCTCTTCATTATCATCCATTATCACAGGGGATGTCTCTTCATTATCATACCATTATCATAGGGATGTCTCTTCATTATCATACCATTATCACAGGGGATGTCTCTTCATTATCATACCATTATCATAATAATCTTATAATCACAGGGGATACTCTCCATTATAGTAGGGGATGGCTCTTATTAACACACCCTATTTGCTGAATTGGTTGTAGTGGAACTCTCCTGTTCCTTTCCCCCTACAGTCATTATCATACCGTTATCATAGGGGATGTCTCTTCATTATCTCTTCTCTAAGGATACCTCTGAAAATGAGGACACCTTTTCCTTTCCCCAAGAACAGTTCTTGCATACATTAATTAACCCCTGAAATAAGGACACTTTAACTAAAATGGCCATTTTCTTCTGTTCCATTGGCGTCTGGAATAGAGGTACTGTAGTTCACTAAGTATTGTGACCAAACCTTTGCATCTTCAATGGCCTTTACCCAGACCAGCATTTCATCTCTCGTACTGGCCTGAATTGGGTAGTCCTTTCCTGCAGTGACACAGTACATTACAGAGGGAAGGAAGAGGATGTTGCTTTAACCCTTGGCATGTACAGTATGTGCAGCGAGGGTGACTATACGTAGTTGGTGTAATTAACCCTCGGTGCACACGTGTCAGTCAGGATAGAAAGGCAAAGGCAAAGCAACAAATGAACTAGCTACACCTATTTTTAAGAAGAGGTGCCCTACATAAGTGCACAGCGAAGGTTAAAGTACTTGGTTATATTATGTAAGAGTGAATGTATGCACAGGTAATTAATAAATATCAGTGAGCACAGGTTTGCAGTATCCTTGCACACCCAGGCTCTTTGGAAGGAGAGTGAGCATGTCACTCACTGTATTTGCGCATGCTCCCCCGGCCTCCCAGGGATCGGGATACTTCCTGTACACATCCGTGTCACGCGATGTCGTATTCTGGTGAGGCTAATGTTCCCAGGTGTGCACCAGCAAGCAGTTGGTACGTAACTGTTTGTTTTGCCCAAAACAAACAACTGAATTTGAGAGGCTCAAAATATTATGTATGCCAGGCATTTGTGTACGTATTTTATGGCATTTGTGTGTATACACATCAGATAAGCTCTTCTCATCAACTGAGCATAACATTACGATTGATTACGTAATCACCTACTGATCCCAGAAAAGTTAACCACTTCATGTTTACTGGTAGAGTATATATACATTTGAGACTACAATCAAAGATGTATCATTTGGCAGTTTGCAAAAGCAGATAATATATCATTTAGCAGTTTTAAACAGAGCTTGGTTACATGTGGAGCGATACTTACCTTCTGCCGTTAGACATGTGAACACAAATTGGTGCTTTTGGAGGGTGTCTGAGAACGAATGAATAAGAGAAGGGAAGAGAGAGAAAGAATAGCAGAAGGGAAGAGAGAGAGAGAGAGAGAGAGAGAAAGAATAGCAGAAGGGAAGAGAGAGAGAGAGAAAGAAAGAGAATAGCAGAAGGAAAGAGAGAGAGAGAAAGAGAGGTGAAGTTAACACACGCGTGAATTGTATGGGGTCAATGTATAGCAAGTCCAACACTCAAGAAGACAACAAAAGAGAAGAGGCACACTCAACGCTTTACTGAGATCAACAACTTCTGCACACATGAGCCAAACTACTAGCTATAATTATATATCTCCCCATAATAGGGCCCCAACAAAACACATAATATAGTATGTCATTATTATACGTACTCCTTATATTATGTGTAATAGTGGAGAGCAAGCGAGTATATTATAACACCTCTCTAAACTGAAACTTAACAACTCTTGTTGGTGCATTACATAACCCCTGCAATAAGGACAAAAGGATGCTCTGTTCTGCCTCGTTGGTGTCCAGATTTGAGGGGTTCCACTGCAATGGGTGTGCTAAAAAGCCTATGGCATCATTTACAAACCATTGGTGTCCAGATTAGAGGGGTTCCACTGCAATGGGTGTGCTCAAAAGCCTATGGCATCATTTACAAACCATTGGTGTCCAGATTAGAGGGGTTTACTCAATACAATATTCTATTATTCTACGAACCTTCAGCTGCAGAGCTTCCAAAGAGGGGAATGACTCCAAGCGGTTTAGTGTCCTGTAGAGGATGAGTAGATACGAGACAGAGAGAGAGAGAGAGAGAAAGCAAGCGATTATTAACAGACAGTAAAACGACGATTAACAGTTTAACCTCAAACTAGACGACGTCATTATACGATAGAGAAAGTGTTTGCAAGTGGTAAACTCTTATGGACTACTTGCTTTACTGGACAGACAGTCGTGCTCAAAAGAAAGCAAATTTCACACTATCTTTGTCTTTCAAAAAATGTTCCACAATGTTCTCATAATTATTCGCTGAGATTTTTCTACAGCTTTGTTGGGAACGAAGGTAGCCATGAGAAAGGTGTCTAGTTTTGGTTGCTTACAACTACAAACTCACCATCTTGTACAAATAATTCAGGCGATGATAGGAAATATCAACAACACGAACACAAACATTACGTAAGATTATACTCCTAGAGTTAATGTAAACTTCCCCATATAAAATTTAATGTACATATATTATGTACACGTGTGTGCGTCATATAACGTATAGAGAGAGGGAGAGGGAGAGAGGAGGGAGGAATGGGAAGGAGAGAGAGAAAATGCTTAAACCAGGCTGCAGCAAAGCAAGAGAATCGAAAGCGTAAGTGCTTCAACCCATTGACAGAAGTTTGCTATACAATAATAGCAGCTCTTGTTGAATAGCTATTGTAGCAATTCAGAGAACAACTATACATTATGATTGTACATATGCAATCCAGAGATATGCCATACAACATAATGCATGAAGTATGAAGAACAATGGAGTTCCAATGACTATTTGTCTCATATGACACTAGCATAAGTGGATAGTATGTCAAGAATGTATAGCTTATACACAGTTGGCCTATTGCACACTGGGAATTTTACCGTAATAGTGTATTGATATCACATAAATGATACTCCTACAACCTCCTCATATTTCATGAGCATCACTCACTTTTCACTATAAAGGTAGTTTGCTTACACTACTGTACATAGTAATTTTTAGCTAGGCTTGCTATCTTTCTTATCCCTTTTCTCCTCTCTTACTTCTGTCACTCTCTCTTTTTCTGCTACCTTTTCTCTTGGTATCTCTTTCTTACCCTCTTCCCTCCCCCTCTCTTTCCTTTCTTACTTCTGTCTCTTTCTCTCCCTCCCTCCCTCCCTCCCTCCCTCACTGCTCTGTTCTTGTAGTAGTAGACTCCCTCTGTAGTCAGCACAAACCACCTGTCCAACCAATTTCTCCTAACGTGGCCTTTCTTCTTCAAGAACCCCACTTTCAGCACGTCTCCTTGCTGATGAGTGAGCAGCTCAGATGTAAAGGTCCTCTTTCGTCGAGACATGTCTGCCGCTATTACGAAGTGTGTGTAGCTGTCTGTCTGCTCGACTGAGGAAGAAAGGGTTCTGTAGCTAACAATGGTACAGTGGACACCAAACGTCCATAATGTCAGGCATCCTTATTTCAGGGGTTAAATTATGTGCAAGATGCTGTTCTTGGTGAATAGTTATAGCTAGGTACACAAGTAAACCGGGCTAGAATGGTTTCGCTAGTCTCGAAGTGTCCAGGGTGTTACATAAAAACGGTGGTTCTCAGTGACACGTACCTAGAGGTGTACGGGGCTAGCTCGTCTTCCTAGTTATTCCGCTTCTTCTTCCTCCCTTCCTTCCTTTCTCCGTTCACCAGCCGTCGATCGGGAGGCGATCAGACCGCGCCGTCGTGAGCTACGAGGTCCTCCGCGAGTTGTCGAGTTAGCTGCACCTCTGGGAGACCTCGAGGACCCAGGGGATCACTTCTTGACGTCTCTCCTCGGCAAGGAACCCAGAAAAGTTGTGTACCCGGCACCTCTGCGTTATTATTGCAGATATAGGGGGCGTGGACAGGATTATTTACGCATGCGCACGAGTAAGCCATGCCTACCAATTATTACCACGCCCATTTCGTAGTTGTGGACCCGACTAGCTCCTCGACTAGCACGTTCTGTTCAGCTACTGATTGGAAGGATAGAAAGCTAGTGGGTTTGTGCCCTGCATTAGAGTGTCCCTTCGAAGTAACGCGATACTTAGCTACCTGCATTTTGCTCAGCGACCCGGGAGCGGAGCCGTCTGCAGGCGGCAATGGGCATCTTCTCCAGATGCCAGTTGTCTCTGGACCTGGACTCGTCTCTGCCGTTCAAGAAGAAGATCGGACTCAAGAAAGCCATCATTGACCATGGAGGAACCGTGTCTTTCATCGTCACCAAGAAGGTGAGGTCCCCTCTCTCTCCCTCTCCCTCTCCCCTCTCTTGTTTGATTTTGTAAAACTCTGGACAAAGCAATGAGGAACTGAGACACAGCACTAAATCTCATACAGGAGATCTGTCCTGCGTACATATGTATGTATATACCTATATATGTACCTCTGTGTCACTCTCCCCTCTCTTGATACTGTAGTTGTGGTGGCAAAAGGGGGAACCCCTGGTGGTATAAGAAGCCTCAGTGTCACTAGTATTATAGACGGCCTCTAATACTCTCCCTATGGCTGTGTATGTAGATTGGTTGCATGTACCAAAGCACATCCGAGTGTATAATTTTGATACTTGGACTTTTTCTGAACAGCTTTTACGTACATTATGAAAATGAGCTTTTACATGATGAAAGTGAATTGCTCTAAGATTGTTTACAATCTCTCACTCTCCCCCTCCCATCCTCTCTTCTCTCCCCTTCCTTATCCCTACTCCATTCCCTTCTTGCCCCTCCTGTCTCCCCCCTCAGACTACACATCTAGTGGTCAACAGTCCAGAAAAGGCCAGAGACTCGTACAAGAGTAGAATGGCCCAGAAGTGGGGTATTCCCGTCGTATCCATGTCCTTCATTGACAAGTATGTACTGTATGTATGTACTCTAGCAATGCATTTGGGGTAAGTCCGTTATGGAGAGGGATCTTTGAATCCACAGCAACATGAGAATGTGGAGTAGCAATGGTTTCAGTGAAATGTCAAGTAATGTATAATATGATGGTTACATAAATGCACTACATGCACTGCGCAATTCAGATACGCGCACTTTTGCTCTCCAGTAATAGCCTTCTCCACACATCCATTCAAACACAGTACAACTGTAGACCAAAGGATGTATAATGTACATTCTCCTTGTTCAATATCTTCCTCTCTCCCTCCCTCTCCATCTCCCCTCTCCATCTTTTCTCTCCCTCTCCACCTCCTCTCTCCCTCACTACTCACCCACCACACAGGTGTGTGGAGGAAGGGAAGCTACTGGAGAGTGACACTTTGTGGTGGTTGGGAAGACAGCTGCAGAGCAGTTCAGTTCAGGCAAGATTGTCGGTAAGTCATGCACCCGACCTATGTACATTATTCATAGGGAGTGCACCAAGTCAGGTGAGTCATAATATTAGAGTCCAGGGAGTCCAGGGGGAGTAGGGGAATGTAAATGGGGGTGCATTGGGTTATAAAGGAAGAGTACTGATTCGCCAAATTATTTCGTGGCCAGTATTAGAATCTGTATTAACCCCTGTATGGAATCTGTATTAATTAACCCTTTGTTGCCTGTATGAAATCTATATTAACTCTTTGTTGCCAGTACATTATCAGTATTAACAGAATCCTGTACAAAGCCCCTTCTTGCATTATTGACTGCATGTGCAAATGAACATTAACCCTTTCTTGTCTACAGGGTCGATGCAGGACAAGGCTAACTCTGACAAGAAGAGAAGGAGACAAAAAGTCGTCAGTCAATCTTAACCAGATCAGGTATATACCCTGCTATAGTATAAATTTTGTATTCAGTACCTCAGTTTTAGCACATTGTTACGTATGCCTCTATCCAAGCATATTTGCGAATTTTTTTCACATAAAGTTGCTACTCTTTTGTATCTCGTTTGGTGTGTCAATTTAAGTAGGGACAAACTCCCAAATGCAAGAATGCAGCAGGCAAACACACCTTCATAATATAGGCAGAGCGAATGCATCCAGTGATTCATTGCGGTACGTATACACTAGGTCTTCACCTCTCTCTCTCTATCTCTTGTCAACAGGGTGTGGGTGTGGCCTCACGCGGACTCCGGCGCTCCAAGTTTTCCCGAGGACGACTACGAGATTCCTCGATTCTCACTCCTCAAAGTGCGTACATACATACATACATACATACATGTACATACAATGTACATGCATACATGTACATACGTTGGAACATTTGAGAGAGTTGCAATATTTAGTGAACGTTCAGTTCCCTTTGTATTGTAGGAACATTATTCGTCGCGGTCGTCGGTACATTTCTATGGGAAATTGTTGCTACACTACAGTATGTTAAAAGTTGAAACTCTAATTAATCATACATTGCTTTCTCTTGTTTGTAGAGGTTTGATGAGCGATTGCAACTGACGTCTTTCGCCTGTCTGGAGATCCACGTGGGAGCCATCAAGGGGGCGGGGCAAGGGGCGGAGTCAGAGGGTAGTGAGGCCGGAGAGGACCGAGTGTACCGCCTGTTCTCCCACCAAGGAACTCTGGAGAAGATGGACGGCGGTGGTGGTGGCGGGAAGAAAGAGTGTCGTTACCTCACCTCGGCGTTGGACGTGGAGGCCACTTACAGCCAGCTGTACCAGAGCTTCGTGTCTTCCCCCCACTCCCTCACCCCCTCCCCCCTCACACTCCTCCCACCCTCACTAGGATCACCACTACTCCAGAAGGTCTGGGTGCCTTTAATCATGCGTATGTCCATTTCCTTTGAGCTTTGTCACCTGATGGTATATGACCGTTTGAAAATTCCATGAGAGAGGCAATGCAATATCGCACAAATCTGAGCCAAAATTTTAACCCCTTAGTTTAACCCCTTTTAAACCCATTTTAACCCCTTTATGTAGTTTAGTTTAACCCCTTTTAAGCCATTTTAACGTTTAGTTTAACCCTTTTAACACATTTTATGTATAGTTTTTCATGAATATCAGTGAAACTGAATGCATAGCAAATCGACACGGAGAATAGTGCATGTTTCTCTTAATCAGCAGACGGGGCTCTAAGTTTCAAGTAAGCATCAAAATTACCAGAAGCTTGTGATCAACTGCTGCAGCATAATATATTGGTCATGGTTTCAGTCTAACCGACCATTCTAACCGACCATCGCCATTCATTCGCAAGGAATATTACTTGCTACTTGTCATACATACAGTGTAGTTACGTATAATTATGCAATCAGTTTGTGACACACTTGTACAGTAGTACGTACGTACATTATATAATATCATCCCTGCAGCACATGTGTGAGGTTCGGTCAGCCTCGACCCACCTCTCCCTCTCTCCCCATGTCGCTCGTCTCGTCGACTACATCTGGTCCGAGGCCGTCGACCAATTGGAGACTGTCCTGGCCGTCTCCGTGGCAACCGTCACCCAGGAACAGCTGGACAAGGCCGAGGCAGCTCTCCTGTCCATCAGGAGAGAATTGGATGGAGATAAGTCCAGTGAGTTCCGTTTGCCGGAAATTTTTAGCGACATTTTGGAATTGACGATGTGCAGACACTGAGTAAAGTCCCGTAGACTTCTCATTCTCTCATATTTTTCTGACTAGGGTCGTTTGATTGCTTGCCAGGCGTGATTGTACCATTTCCATGTCTGGCGAGCAAAGTCGTCTGCAAAACACACACGAAATATTGAACTGCAAAAATTAGATCGCCAAAAAATGCATGCAATCGTCTAATGATTGTGAAAATCAAGCTTTCTAGTTATGCGTTAGGTTGTGTGATGTCATGCCAGGAGTGACTGTTTCATTCCCGCACAGATCTTGCCAGTCTGTCCGACGATTTCTACTCTGCTCTACCTCACAAGAGAGGTCAGGGGTCAGGAGGTCGAAGGTCGCGAGGGGTCATTGACACTAAGAGAGCCGTGGCCCAGAAACAGGATCTCTGCCAGGTGAGACCCCGCCCATTTTCTCTTACCCACGTGTGAAAAATTATCTGACGGTAAAAATCTGTTTCAACTCATGTTTCCGTGCCCGCTAGTACATGCCACGCGGAGGCAAGAGAGCCAAGCTGTCTGTCTTGCGTCCTCAAATATTTTCTCCACGTAAAAATAATGCCACGTGGAGCAGACATGGCTGCACGTGCCCTACTTGACCTCCGTTTGAAATAATTTTGTAATCATTACTCGCGTTCACATGCAGCAGTGTTCTCATTCATTTCAGACGTGATTAACTACACGGAACTGGCAAAATATATTTTCTTGAAGGTGGTAAGCGAGGCAACCAACAAAAAAACCAGCTCACTGAGCACATGCAGACTAAATCCATGGGCCTGTGCTATAGAAAAAAAAATCCTCAACACAAAATTGCAGAGCCCACCCATAACTTTAACCCCTAACCCCCCCAGTTAATCCGAGACATGAAGGCGGTGAGCGAGGCAACCAACTGGTCCCAACGGAGCAGCACCGAGGCAAAGTACACTGCCCTCCGGTGTGACCTTCAACCTTTGACCCCAGGGTCGTCCGAGTTCTGCCGCGTCCGAGACCAGATCCTCAACAGCCAGGACTGGTATGGGAACCAGACTCTGCCTGAAATGCTTTTTAATTTAGCGAGCAATTCAAGCTTAAATTTAATTATTGTGGCTGAACTTGTAGCTATATGCACATCAACGAACATTACCGTATATACATGTCGGTCCGAAAAAATGCATTTGTGCTAGAACTAATGTGTTTTGCGAAGAGCCATCTAATTTGTGCTTGCGTAACATTACTTAACATATTCCTGTCGTATATGCGAATATAGACCGGCAAATACATTTACCTTCTAACACTAATGATTATACTGTTGTTGTTTCGCAAGCCACTGTAACTCGGCATCGTTGGTGTAATAGCTATACATATGAACAAGCGTATTACACGACGTCAAGATTTCGTCCCCCCCTCCCCCAGCTCCCTCTCCCCCTCCCTCGCCATTGAGAGGATCTATTCGGCCAGAAGACCGGCGGAACATTCTCAGTTCACTCACTCCCTCGACAACAAGCAACTTCTCTTCCACTCCTCCCCCGTACAGAACTTTGTGGGAATCCTCTCTCGGTGTGTGCCTCTTTCCATCCTCTTAATTTTACATGTAATTCTAAAAACGTGTGAAACGTACAAAAAAATCAAAATTCTCGCTTTGCTCACCAAAATATTTTTTGCATTTCTCTTTATTTTTGTATGTACGTATTTGCTTCAGTGGTCTTCTACTGCCAAAGATAGTGGTGGATGATTTCGGTGGTTGTCGTAGTGATCCTGGTATGCTGGGGGCTGGCATCTACTTCGCTGGCTCTGCAAGGTAATACGTACGTACGTACATACAGTTTGGAGCCTTTACAATAGACAATATCTCTATACCTCTGTTGAAGTGCAGAGGTAGCTCCCGAGATTTATTGCTGGGGGGCACAATCAGCCCCCTAGCAACAACTTTAGATGGTCCCAATAATACCGACACCCACTATTTGGGGGTCAAAGTGTCCCCTGGGAAGCATATTCAGGGGGACAAATGAAGAGATAGAGGGACAATGTCCC